GACGAATAAAAATTACAAATTTTCAAGTTCAAAAAAGGGGTAAGTCTTACCCCCAGCAATATGTAACTTTACAGATTTCGTTCCTAAGCCTATTAGACAGAAATATTAAAATTTGGCAGTTAAATCTTTAAAAGCCTATGAGTTACAACACCTGCAATTTAGACGAATAAAAATTACAAATTTTCAAGTTCAAAAAAGGGGTAAGTCTTACCCCCAGCAATATGTAACTTTACAGATTTCGTTCCTAAGCCTATTAGACAGAAATATTAAAATTTGGCAGTTAAATCTTTAAAAGCCTATGAGTTACAACACCTGCAATTTAGACCAATAGACAGAAATATTAAAATTTGGATGTTAAATTTTGAAAACCTACAAAGCTACAAAACCTATTATTTTGACAAACAAGTACTGAAAAGTTTCAATGCTCTCCAAACAAAAGTGTTAATATGTTTAAAGTCCTGTGCCTTTTGACACCTGCAATTTACTTTAAATTAGGGTAAAAGCCAACCTCTTAATAATTCGACTGCAGATTTTGTTGCTTTTATGCTCACAAGAATAATTTAAATACAGCTACTTCAGTAATATGAAAATAATAAATCCATTCGTATTAGGTTTGGTCACGTGTTTATAATAGATAGATTATATGGGACATTTGCATAATTAATAATTTATGGGTACATTTTATTTTTATACACAGTGAATAATGAAGCGATGAAAAAAGGAATTGTATTTCTCCAGTATGAACGATGCACAAGATGGATAGCATTATTAGTCGTTTCTTATACAAGTCTACTTTAAAAGCAACTGCAACTGTAATCTGGCAAAAAATGTAACAATTTTCTTTTTTCTTTTGAACTAACTACTTTTATTATTCATCATTCCTTCACAGTTAAACGACTGAATTTACACTCTAATTTATCGAAGTACTTGGAAAGTCTGAACCACAGAAGGCTTATTTTTGTAGGGAACCGATACATATGTCCGATTGAAAAGCCTATACATAAATGTAAGAATGTATTTGATTATTTTTTAGTTAGTTTAGAATATCAATTATGAATTATGTAATGATATGAATAGACCGACAGCCAAATTTCGAACGAATCGCAGTTTTATGATACTCTACCCATTGACGTAGTAGGTAGCAAAATTGTAGTTAACGGGTTTGAATAAGGAAGGGTGCTGGACACGCACCTTCACTCCTTCCTATTCCGAGTTAGTCTTCGCGTTACCCTAAAATTAGAACATCCCACATCGTTATTTATTTGCGAACAGTAATCTAATCTAGGTCTCTCTAAACTCCTCTTAACTCCTGTTTCTGCCTCTAATATGTCTCTGATTAGACCTTCATGCTTGACAAGGTGTTCAACCAACCTATCCCGCCTATTTTTTATTGACTTTTATAGAGTTCTCTGTTCTTCTATTCTTTCTAACACCTCTTCATTTATAACCTTCCTTTTATAACAGAAAAATAACATTAATTCTTTTAGACTTGGATGTAAATCATTTTAAACAGTATTACGTTTATTACCAACGCTTTGCTGAAATTTATCGGAAATATAAATTTTTTTTAATTTACCATGTGTAAATTCCGTCCTTCAATTGTTTGTCTTAGAGGAGGATGACAAGGTTACGGTAGCGCTTTTGTTATATTTCAGACTCTAAAATACTTTCTAAAAGTATTTTAAGAGACAACCTGCACGCAATTTACCGCATATTAACACCGGTTTCTATGAATGCTTCTTTGTAATAACAATAAGCACTGAATGTATGCATGCATGTCATAAGGAAATTATGTAATAGTGCTATTTTTTCCATTACCGACTTTTGACCATGAATCAGATTCGTTCGTCGTGTGTACAGCAAGTAGTGAGGGTACATCAGAGAAGAACCATGAAGATGGAAACCGGTCTCTGGTCGACCATCGTCGCTTCTTTGTGTGTGTGTGTGTGTATTTGTGTTGTAAATGTTGGTGGTTATGGTGTGCGAAGAAGAGGCGGCGGCATCCGTATCACTCACTGCTTTATATGAAGCCATTTACACCCAATTCCGCCCGATTTTATAGTGCATAAATATTTTTATTTGGCATTTGGCACTTGAGCGGCTATTGTTATCGCTCTGTTAAACGTCTCTTTGAGACCACGTGGGATCGTGTATCGGATAACATAGGGTCCACTGAAAGTCTCGAGAGCACTGATGTTTTTGCTTAATAAAAAAATCAAGAATTTGTATCGTTGTTATAGACCATAAAACAAGAATTATTATGACCTCCCTCATCATCATAAGGTCGTCAGTCCTAAGACTGATTGGACACGTCCTATCCTGAGGTAATCTTCGCATTTCCCTAAAACTAGAACAGCCCACATCCTTAACTATTTGCGAACAGTAATCTAATCTAGGTCTACCTCTACCCCTCTTAACTCCTGTTTCTGCTTCTAATATGTCTGTGACTAGACCTGAGAAGGTGTCCTACCAACCTATCTCGCCTATTTCTTATTGACTTCCATAGAGTCCTCTGTTCTCCTGTTGTTTCTAATACCTCTTCATTTCTAACCTTTTCTACCCACGATATCCTCATCATCCGCCTATAACACCACATTTCGAACGCTTCTAACCTTTTCTTTTCCGCCGCTCCCACTGTCCATGTTTCGCACCCGTACAACGCCGTGCTCCAAACATACACCTTTAACAACCTTTTTCGAATTTCTAAATTAACCGTTCGCGAGCATAGAAGTGACTTCTTTTTATTAAAGGCGACACGACCCTGCGCTATCCTCTGCTTTATATCCCTACTACTCCTTCCATCCTCACTTATCTGACTTCCTAGGTATCTAAAATCAGCCACTTCTTCTAATTTTTCGTCTCCTATCTTTATATTCGCTCTTTCCCTACTTTTTCTTCCCTTGCATACCAGTATTTTAGTTTTACTTTTATTTATTTTCATACAGTACTGATCTGTCGGTACCGCTTCCATTTTATTTAAAGCTATCTCTAGGTCCTCCTTGCTAGATGCTAATACTGTTATATCATTTGCAAATGTAAGCATACTAATCATTTGCCCTTGCACATCTATCGCTACACTTAGTTGTACTGTCTTTGATGTTGATCGCCTCCCTACTACAGGATTTAAATATACCGTGTTTGCAACGGGAAATTTAAGTTTCAGCATAAGGTGAAAGAGTAAGGAGGTCTTTTTTTGTTTAGATTATTCTCGAGAGGGGAAAATCTTTAAAAGACACCTCCTGAGGGGAGGTAGGTAGGTAGGTAAAAAAAGACCTCCCTATACTTCCACCTTATGCTGAAATTTAAATTTCCCGTTGGAAACAGGGTATATTTGAATGCTATATTAGATTCTTTGGATAATGGAGGATATTTTACACAAGTTGTACATAAGAGAGAGTCTATTAATTAGGTGAGAAGAGTTTCTTTCAATTGGAAGGCATCTCTGCACCTTGTGAGATTTTTAAGATGTAGTGGTACTTTTTCCCCTTCCCGGAAAAATAGGACATCCCACAAAAAGCACCTCACCTAATTAATGGATGTCTCCTAATAATACGTAATTGAAAGCAACATCTGAGACTAATAGCCTTAATCCCAGATATACAGTCTTGATCGTGGGCTTACTTTTATGTATCCTTTACCTTTTTCTTTTGGTCTTGTTATTAAGTCTGGTTATGGTTTTACTGGCTATTGTAAGACTATTCCGTGCAAAGTCGATATATTTATTATTTGTGTGACAAATTGAAAGCGGCTAAGGTTTCTGGTAAACTTGTCATGTCTCTTCCTTAATTGCAAAAGTTTCGTAAGTTTTTGAAGAATGCATCTTCAGTGGGTTCAGTTTCATTGTCACCTCTGCAGCTAAGCGTGGATATGACAACGATCCCAAAAACGCAACTTTACTCAACTAATATCGTAAAAGCTTATGACAAAACATGACCCATTTATACAAATTTACTTTTTTTGTTAGATATATACTTTTGCTACTTTTATTTTTGTTGAAATAATTCGTTAATAATTGTTTATAAATTAGTTATTAACATAATCTTTAAGCAATGAAAAATTTCAAATTATGTTTGGGTTGGAACCTTAAGCTACTTGATTGAAAATTTTTTCCAATGATTCCGAGACTTTTAGTGCCTATGTATGAAACAGTTTGTCTGCAAGTACATTGTACCGCGAAAATATAAGCACATACGACAGATGTTAATGTGAACTAAGTATACACTCACGTGTGCATGTTTATTTACTGGTATACATACATACATATGCATGCAACTATTGTATAATGCACGCGTGCATTTATATCTTCTTTTAGGTTTTAGGTTACAATGTTAAGTCCTTTATTATCCGTTAATTAGGGTTATATGTAACTAACCAGATAAATCAACAGGTGGATGCCAAAATTTTGAGTCTTCAAAAAAACTCCATTTTTGTATTAGTAATTGATATTATCTCTCAAAAAGCATTGGTATTCATAGCGACAGCGTTCTCGTTTAATCAATTCACAAAGTACGCTTCTTTTCGTTTATTAAAATAAAAAAAAACTATTGTAAGTTTAAAGAAACCAAAATAGTGATACCTACTGCCAATAAATAATGATAAAGATTGAACAAAATTTTCTTAAATAATATTTTTTGGAGTTGTTGTACTCAAAGCTTGCAGATTTATACCAAAATTTAATACGCTTAATTTTAACGTCAACTATTCCTATCCGTAGGAGGTAAAACCAGACATGAAGATAAAAATTGCAAACTTCGTATATCGTATTACCAACATAAAAGCTGTTCTGTATTTTGGTAAGATTTGTAAGACATTTTACCATTAATGCTCACCCAACCAGTGCAAAAAAAATTGTAAACAGAGTATGTAATAAAGAAGGGTCAGCTCATAGCGTCGGTAGCGCGAGACGATACTGAACGAGGTCGTCTGTTATTGAATCTAGTTAAAGTTAACCCATGAACTTTCTACATGCAAATATCCCACTTGTAACTCGGTAAGATAACCTGTAATGTATAATGCTGTCGCCACATAACCCATTATGACAAGTCTATTTGAGCTCTCAAACAGCCCAAGCAGGCACGGCCCTCTTTGCTAGTTTATGTTCACCTCCAGAGTCGGACTAACGTAGCACGGCAACCATCTGTTTCATTATGAATCACCGAATGGCCTGTAAAAGAAAAGAAAACAATGATAAATACTGACCTCCAACTTATTGGTTTTCCAAAGAAGATCATTTGGAGATTTGGAGGTCCGCAAAATTTTAGATTTATTGATTTTACCTTTCCGTAAGTAACAAATTAATTTGAGAACCACACATTTACTTTGACATCATAAAGTAATAAATAAATATTTTTCAAAAAATCCACTTTTGCATTGTCTTTTCGTTATAAAAAAAAAAACGGCTCGATAGAATATTGTTAATTCACTTCGAACGACATCTCAATGGAGTCGATACCTTTTTTGTTTGTTTAACCTTCCATTCTGTTATAGTTTATTTTATTATTTCAAAAAAAAAAAGAAAAGAATTGAGAGTATATCTGTAAAAAAATTCGATTGTACGGTCCTGCGTTCGGGACATGATACTGTGAATACACAAGTGTATAAATATGTGTATCGCTCCTCTTTCTTACAACACGTATTGTTTCACTGAACACGCGTAGCAACTTTAGGATGTTGCCCCATCAGACAGATAACTCAATTTGCGACGTGTTGGTCCGTCGACTGGTTAGCCAAAAAATTCCCCATGTAAATTGCACCACGTAAACTGTTAAAACTCGAATAGTGGCAGTGGCTGATCGCTCTCAATATACGAATTGCACTAATTGTCAAGTAAAAATAATTTGAAATCGAGCGGGAAGAATAAAAACATAATTGACTGTAAAATTGAAAGGGTTTATTTGACATTCGGGTTTTCGATATAACTATTTGCAATTTTTAGGATTCAATTAAGCACTCGATTTTCATTTTAGTTTTATGTACAGAAATATAATTTTAATATATAATATTTTTTGTGAATAAAGCACACAATAAAGAATTGATCATAATTTTCACGCCTTTTTATATAATTGACAGTAAATTGCTTGGCATATCTATCGTAGCTTTTGTTCATTTTATGTAAAGCAAAATTAATGCTGTGAAATCAAGAAAATAAGCAGTAGAAATGCTATAGTCTAATAATTCAATGCTAATTACCCTTGAAAATTTCTTTGATGACACTCGAATTGAGTACAGAGCGTACGCAGGTAAACAAGTAATTATCGAGTGTTTGTTTATCAAGAACGGAATTGAGCATAGGGATCATACAGGTAGCAAATAAAATTACCGATGATAAGAACAACATTAACGTTATAATGTTGCCAAATATAACTTGTTTGTAAAGGGCGGGAGAAATTAATAAAAACAAGGGACTACCCTTATGCAATTATAGTTATCATTGTCTTGTACAATAACTAACATGTCTTCAATAAAATTTGGTCCGAACAGTCTTCTAGTGTCTCTAGAACAACCAACACTTCCGAGGAATTCCATTCGAAATTTAAGAAGGAAAACGTTTCTTCGCATCCCAATATCTATTCTTTTTTAAAGGTTCTGATTGAAATTCAAACAGACACTTACATAAAAATAACCAAGTTAAAAAAAAATTAAGACGAAAAATACTGTTAAAAATCATTGTTATTGATCAAAAAATAAAGCTAACTAAATGATGGTGAAATATCAAGATACGACTATGCAAGATGTATTTCTTATAAAAATATCGTTAGTTAAGTTAATATTATGTATCTAATATAAAGTTGAAATATTAATCCTCTAAGTACTTGTAACAAATAAACAAAATAATTCAAAGTAAATATTGTTTAGAATTAGAAATCTATTAGAAAATTTACTTGTTTACCTACCTACTGTTTCAAAAAGAACTCAAATCCCTACAGATATTTTAAAAGAAAGCTGGCAATATGGCTTGTGCTCAATTCCGGTGTTTATTTAAACACATGCAGGTAAGAAAATCTTTGTGCTCAATTCAGGCGTCCGTTTGTGCTCAGTTCATGCTTATTAATCGTTTTTGTGCTCAATTCAGGCGTCCGTTTGTGCTCAGTTCATGCTTATTAATCGTTTTTGTGCTCAATTTAAGTGCACCTATTTTTTTAGGTACTGGTATAGGTATGATCCACTACCTCCCGATAGACAAATAATATGATCGCGCTGTCCACATTCTAATCGGTGGTCATGCTACAGGGTTGTTTTGTTTTACCCTATCTTGAAATTGAGCAAACATTAGATAAATATCCAACATGTCACATTATAAGAGTTCATGTTTAATATCACTGTATTTTTTTAATCCTATATTTTATTTAAGCACTTATCTATTAGAAATAATTAATTCATTTAAGCAAGTACCCACTAGAAATAATATATAAGTATAAATACTGAAAAAACAATTTTTTCATCGTAAGTAACTCTCGATACAGGGGTGTGGTTAGTTTTATTAATGATAGGTATGAATTGATGAATATCTAGACCCGATTGACGAAACTGATTTTGAAGTGAATGAACTGCTATTATGGGTGTATTTAATTCCAAATTAAACAACAAGTACTTTGTTTCGAGCATAATTAATGAATCATTTAAAAAATGAATAAAAAGCTGTCCAACGAATATCTCTATAACTGTACTGTATAAATGACAGACTACTTTAAATGTAAATGTGTCCTGAATTATTAAACAACCTATTTAAATGGAAGTCAAATTTGTACAAATAAATTGCTTTATCATGTAATAAAACCATCCAAAATTAAAATATTTTCACATTCACATCATGCAGTTCTTTAATTGTGAGTTTTTGATATTCGATAGAAAAAAATAATGTAAGGGGAAAATTGTCTTTCTTAGTCAAATTAAGAACGCTTGACTAATTTAATTACTTGTTTGAAAATGTGCCAAAATTTTTCAAGTTACAAAATCACTGAATTACTACATCCGGTTTGACGATTATTTTAAGAAACTTGCACAATATTTTTTAACAGTAAATTATATGTAACTCTATACCTACATAAATTTTTAAGTATGTACCCAAGTATTAGGTATAATAAACGTAGAAATTTTAACCGGAAGGAATAAATTTATATTACTTATTAGCTGCTGGATGAACGAAATACTTCGTTATTTCCATTATAGGTGCCCAAAAATACCATTTTATAGAAATTAATGATCTTACTAACATCACTACTTCTAAATTTAGAAATAGGTGTATTAAATACGAACGAATACTGCATAAATAATTAAGTATATGAGAATAAACATTATTTAAGGAAGGTGCGCATTTCAAAGTAAAAATAAAAAAAGGAAACAGTATACTGAATTGTAAGAAGTGCAGTATAAAACAATAAACTTAAAATAGTCGATGAATGTTGAGAAAGGTGTAGTGGGAACAATGTCAATTAAATTTTACAGGAATTACTAAGAATATCAACGGTAATATATTGTCCGACACCTCCGAATTTAGTATCTATGGGTGGGAGGGTCTAGGCGTGCTCAAAGGCCAATCCCTACAGCTTTAAAGACACCCTCTATAAGAGTGTTTTTGGGATTATTTCCTTTGTGTCATATTAAAACACAAGATATGGTACAATTTTCAAGAAAACTGAAGAAGTTAATACTTTTGGTGGTAATACTAGATACAAATTACAGCCCTCTGCATAATTGGGTTTTCGAAATAAGTTTATTTTTTAAAGATAAGAATACTTACTTACAAATTTCACTTTAACCTCATTGTAAATAGGATTTTCATTTTCAGGACAAAAAAAAGTTGTGTTAAGTATGTATAAGTCCCTATATTATTTCGTTTAGAAATTGGAAATGTTCGATTTTGTTTAGTATCTGACAGGCAAACTGGCAGGCTTGCCACAAGTATTGCTCTACTAGGCACGTTGATTGGACCCTTGTTAAAATTAAAAACTTATTTGGGGAGAAATATGCAGTTGAAACTGAGCTCCGTCACTTGTCATATTTCCCTTCGGGAAAATTTATGAATAACAGACAACAGAAACTCATAAAAATGAGCATCATCGAGATCTATCTACATGAAAATTCTTTAATCGTCCATTTGGGGGTGGCGTATATATTTATGTTTTGAAAGACTGACGTCTTGTAGGTACTGGACGGTTTTAACCTTAATTTGATGAAAATCCATTAAAGGTACCTCTAACGGACAGGTATATTTCAAAAACACAGTCATAAAATAAATGTTCACAAATTCTTTTATATAATTATATTTCCACGAACTGATTTTCTCAAGAATACGATTAGTATTTTACGTTAGAATCGTAAGCACATAGAACATTATTACATGTAGGTATAGTGTAATATTAAAATAAAATGTATGTACCTAATATAAAAAGTAAAAATTCAAATAATTTTCAAGATGATCTTGGGCGAGAAGAGCCGGATCAAAACAAAATGGGTTACTTTTTTTTTCGTATGTGTTGTTACATATTTGAAACGCATGCATAAATGTAAAGCTGTCGTCGAAAGAAAGCTTCTTCGGCACCGAAAGCCGCTCCATCTTTATCGCTTCCGAAATAGTCGACGTAAATCCGTCGGCAGTGGCACTTAGCCATGTTCCCGGCTGTCGTAAGTAAACAGTACGTTCGCTCTTTGCCACCAAACCAACAAGAAATTAATTTTCTGAAGCACTTAGGCTGCTATTATTGCTACTATTATTATGGCTTTTCCGATATCCGGATTTGTTACCTTTTTGCCGTTGCTATTTATAGAAATCCAAACAAAGGGAAACGGAAAATATTGCAGGCGACCAGTTGGTGCTTGGAGAATCCTTGCGCTCGGAACCTTTATGTGTTTATTTAGAAATGCGGTAATGGAAGAAGATTAAAGGAATTACTTGAAAAATTCCCTATCAGTAGGTAGTCATATACATTTCAAAAATTAAACACAAATTTTTACTGCCTTTGACTTTTAAACATTATGGTAATTTTAAATAAACTAAAACTAAAAGACATTTTTTTAATGCGTGTAACAACAAGAATTACAATAAAACTAAGATGCTTGTTAATACATCTCTTCAAATAATAGAAATAAATAATCATTTACCTATTTTTTTAAGAAAATGATAGATAGTTAAAGAATATTTAAGTATATTAAAATATTTGTGAT